CTCCGCCCCGTTGCCCCAGGCAGAACCGCAAAGAAACAAAAATGAGGACGTAAGCTTTCCCCAGGGGGGGGGGGGTTAGAATAAGCGAGCTGTCGAAATTTTATGTGGACTTGGATAATCTACTAATGACTTTAATTTACTCTTTCAGATCCATTGTTTACAAATATATTAGATGTGGTCCTTAATCTCAGGAAAACACGCCCGGAAAGTTTACGAAATGACATCGAAAAAATGTCGGCGGAACAGGAAATAGAGCAGGAAGAGTTAACTTCAAATCTAATTCAGCACCCTAGCAGGAAACCGCTTGCAGTAATTAAGGAACATGTGTTATATGTACGGGAATCTTACAAGGATCTATATCACATAGTTACTAATGAGAATCGCAACCCCAGGCTCCTCATATCTGGCACGTCAGGTGTCGGAAAATCGTGTTTCTTGATTTATTTATTAATCCGTCTCTTGTGCAATAAAACCGATGTCACGGTCATTTTTAAGGCATTTGATGATACACCTTTATACTGTTTTGAGAATTCTAATCTCTTTGTTGGAGACTTTGAAGAATTTTCGGAGCGATTATATAACGCCAAAACATGGTACTTGGTGGATGGTACAGTTCCCAGGGATGTCTTAGCAAGAACAGTCGTTTCTGCATCATCAAAAAGTATCAAAGCCAAAGGATTTCAAGAGTTTACTAAAAATCTTGTAAATGAATTTTGCGTGCCACCGTGGTCAATTGAAGAGTTGGATGCCTGTCGACTAAGTGTCTTTCCGATGATACCACAAGGTTTAATGCTTGACCTTAGTGACGAAGTGGGTGGTGTGCCAAGATATGTTCTTCAGATACCAGCATCCATTATTCGAGAAAATCCCAATTTCGAGGAACAACAAGCCGTTCTCAGTCAGGATATGATTAATCTGATTAAGAAAACGTCTTTAAAACGCGTAGAAGAAGCCCTTCGGGAAATCAATGATATCAGAAGACTTATACCGTGCTTATCTGAAAATGCCCAATATGTCGAATTCAGCAGTCGCCTTATTCATCGGTGGCCAGACACTTCCTATCGAGAACAATCCCTCTCATGGGCCTCTGGTCGTATTTTTGATAAAATCCAGAAAAAACTGGAGGATAGTAAATGGAGCAATCTATTTCTAAAAATTCAAGATCCTGATGACCCTTCCAGCTCTAGGGGGATTATGTTTGAGTCACACGTACTCTATCTATTCAAGCTCGGTGGTCAAACGTTTGAATCGAGGAGACTTAGAGAAAACAAGGTATAATTTTGCATAATCATTTTCGATAATAATTGAGAAACTATTAACCATGGCCTTTTTCATTATAAGAATGATCCGGTCATTAACGGTAAATTAACTATATTAACAAAACCAACTACGAAGTATATCCGATATGCAAGCCAGCTCACAGGATATAACCAAGAAGGCATAATTATCAAACCAACCATAAGAAATTTCAGTGCGGTAGATTTAATTCTTACTCCGAACTGTATCTTTCAAATTACTGTGTCTCCAAAACACCCCGTGAAGCAAAGTGAACTGATCAACATAGTTCAAAATATGCTGGCATATAAGGAGAATCCGAATGCAAAAATTTTTTTATGTTTTATTGTGCCGGATGATATATATGATACCTTCAGATACCAAAGTTATGTAACGCCCAAGAAAAAAATTGGAAACGATCTTGAGGCCTTTCAGGCAGTTAAGCGTAAGTCCCCTATCCTCAATAATGTAGAACAATGGGTCGTTAAAATTAAAATGGTACCCGAAATGACTGTAACGTCTGCGCTGAGCAACGCGATGGCAGTGGCAAATTCCTGTTTATAAGATTCTGCAATATCAATTACTTATTAGGTACTTGGTTTTAAATCGCTTTATCGCTTTATCGCTTTATTTTTCATATTAATTAAGTTATTTCTAATTCATTTTCGCTACATTAAGAATTTCGGAGGGATGTTTAGTAGTTAATATAGAGTATATAGTTATATATATTACGAATACTTAAGAAATCGCTTTATTGTAGGAGAACACTAAAGCGGGGTAATGCAATTCGGATTGAGTCGATCTGGATTGATTTGATTCGGATTTACATATAGTATTGCATGCAAAATAAAATAAACTTTTTGAGAAAACATTCTCATATTTCAAGAGTGAAAAGGGATGAAAGCTAATTATGATTTTAACACAGTTTATTAAGACTAATAATATTTATAACTGTTAACATTAAGATATATATAATTATTAAGATATGCATTAATATATTTACTTATTATATATATTTATAATTTTTTTATATATTCTCATTATTTCTTTGTATTTTCACATTTCTTTATATTCTTATCATTTTTCTATTTCTCAAGTAACAAATAAAAAATATCTTAGTATATTTAATATTAATAAATCATTTAAAGTTTCAGAAAAGAAATTTTATAAAAATTTGTGACTACTCATTTTTAATATATGAATGTGATATAATAATTGAAAATATAAGAATAATAATTTTTAGATTATTTACTTCTGTCATCTAGTAAAATATAGAGAATTAAGTATGTATAAAAAAGATATTCTTATTAAGAAGTAAAGAAAAACTTAATCCTAAAAATATAATATAAGATAAACATAATATATATTACTTTAACTTAAATAATTTATATTAAATATTTTAAAAATACATCTAATTACAGTTATCTAATTAAAGATAATAACAAGATTAAATAACTTAAAATTATTAGATAATTAGTAATTAATAAAGTAATAAAATTATATATATCACTAGTTATTATAATTACTATTAAAGAATTAACAGAAAAGAATAACTTAGATATTATTAATTAAAATTTATGTTAAACTAAAGTTATTAATATTTAGTAAAAGATATATAAGCTATTAATAATTTATCTTATTATCAAGTATAATTTAAAACTTAATATTCAAAATACTCTCAAGCTATTAATTAATAAAGATTATAAATTTAAATATTTTAAGATTATTTAATAATTATCAAAAGATTTTTATTTTACAAGTTCTTGATAATTAAAAAAACTATAATATTATGAATGACTTATACTTATAGATTCTATTCATAATATTAATAAATATTTCTGATATCTATTTATTTTATATATTTGTGATAATTATAATTTTTAAGATATGAATATTATTATGATATGAACTTTTAGTAGAATATTAATCAGTTATATATTATTGATTACTTTATATTATAATATGATTAGATAAATAATTACTTATATCTTATTGAATATTAACTTTAAAGAATATTATTTATAAATATTTTTAGAAGATTTTGCAAATATGATGATCATAACAAAATTATTATAGCAAAGTTAGCAAAACTATTATAATAAAACTAATAATGCTATTATAATAAAACTAATATTATGATACTAGCTAAAGTGATATTTAGATTATAGCAAAACTAGTATAAGTACCATAATAAAAGTATTACAATATGTTACAAAAAAACTATAATTACTATTTTTACTTATATTCAATAAATATTTATTTAATTCATATAAAATTTTAAATATATATA